ACCGTATTGTCATTGGATTTGGAGTGCTGTGTAAACACATATAACTTAGTATATATTTGCTAGCTGTCAGTAGTTTCTAAACAATACACGTTGTAGCTAGCTGTAACCGAATTGTACGTGCCCCCATCCATGTCTGTCAGTCCATCTACACTCTATTGTCAGTCTATTAAATACTAGCCTGTAAATATAGGTAGATATGTACCTTTTACCAACTAATGACTAATAGTTTTTCTTTTTTTTTTTTTTGAATTTGTATAGGTACGTAATAAACAGTAGAATATTGACACTTCGGTAATGTGCATACATCTCGTTTTATGAAGCCACTGTTTCATTCCCCTTCATCCAAGAAAGGTTCAAAACTTGTCAATAAATACAGTAAAAGTTTCTTATTCGCGGTTTCCTTATTCGTAATATTAATTTGAAATCATTTTTTCGATTTTTTATTTACCCACTACAAACTACCTCAAATTAATGAGGGAAAAATTGTTGTTGTTGTCACACCAACGCCGGGAATCGAACCCGGGACCTTTGGCTTTACGCACCAATGTTCTGACCACTAAACTACGAGAGGTGACAACAACAACCACGACCAACTGACCTACAAGGTTAACGATCCGTCGATCGTCGATCTTGTACCTTGTAGGTATGATGACACATTTTCAATATAAATTAAAAAAATAAAAAATGGCCTTCGACAGGCTTTAGAACAAAATTTTATCTATCTTACTACAAAATTTCAAACCTCTGTTCCAAACATTAAACTCATGATATCTAGAACCGATAAGCATGTTTTACTCTACGGCGCATTTATTACTGAATCCGCTTAATGTATCCGCATCTTTTGAGTATGTACCTACTGTTGGCTCGTGCCGAGGCGACCTTTATAAAACATGTAACCGAGTCGACTAATTCAAAATTCAAAACAAGAAAAAATCACTAAATTTTTTAAACCTTTGTCTAAAGCTGATTATAATAATGATTAATTTTAATTGCGAATTTCTCAATAAATTGATTTTATTCTGATACATATTGGTTTTATTTTGGAACTTTAGAACGTATCCCCTATGATTCCATACTAATTACCATTCCATATCTACGGTTTCTGTACTCGCGGCATATTTATGGAACGTATACCCCGCGAATAAAGAGCTTTTACTGTATACCTAATTGTTTGTTAATCCAATTGAAAATTGAACCGCATTCGCTCTGATTTGAATAAGTAGGTACCTAATATTTATGCTTGTCTAAAGTCTTACACCAGGACCCCGTAATAGCCAGACGACTGTGTAACCTGGAAAAACTTAATCATCAGTTCTTCTGCTGATTTTTTCTTGAAAGTAACTCAAGGTTTTGTGGTTTTATATGACTGCGTGTTCCTATGCGAGAAGAACCAAATTCGACATTCGTTGATGGTATAGGTCTCACAAGTACACATATATAGCGTTGTAGATCAAATGGCCTTATTTCTTCAGAAACCTCTGCAGATTGTAATTCTTCCATTAGCAAGCACAATAATTTCCACGATTATATCATTGATGGACATGTTAAGACGCTCAGACCTCGCGTCATCTTCTCGACCTTTCTGAAAACTATTTGTACCATTCAAAGAATCGTGCTTGTGATATAGCATATAATATTATCGCTAAAGGTCTTCTTTAACATTTTGAATGTTTCGCTGCACAAAAAATTGCCAAACACCACTAATGTAGATACGTCTTGCTTATTCGAACGGCAAACACAAACTAAGCATCGCAGCTGTTTTATATTTAACATGTGTGCAGTAAACTGACAGTGCAACCAATACACAAAAAAAGACCGAATTCGGTAAACAAGGTGTTAGTGCGCGTAATTTTAAAATTCTCGTTACTTTTTAATCACTGCTTTTATTGTCCAAATGACTGGTTTGACCTTAGAACATAAATGTAAATATTTATGCTGCAAAGATTTGACGCGGATATTTTTAAAATTATAAACATTACCGTACAGTCACTGACGTGTATTGTCGCTGTCATGTGTTTCACTTCGTGAGTGTTGTCTTCTCCTACTATAACCATATAATCCTAACAGTATCGGTGAAAACAGATTTCTCGCCCGTTTGTGTACTATCTAGCTATAATTTACAAACAAGCTTTGCTATTTGAAAAAATATATGCCTAAAAACGCAACTTATGGGATTTATAGCAGAATGAAGATTCGGGCTATAGGGTCGCCCAGTCGCTATCGAGACTTCAAGCTATAATCTACGTTCACGTTGTCAACGCAGCACTACCACTGAGGAAACGTCTGGACAGAATAGTTCACTTAGACCATGGTCCTATAGCCCGAATCTTCATTCTATTATGGATTCCGGCCGTGAAAGCCTTTGTTCTTATATTATGGGATTTAGTTTCAGAAGATCGTTTTCATGTCCTACCTACAACATAATGTACACTATTCATTCTTAACTTTTAAGTAACATTAATTTTTAAAATGATTGTTAATAGAAAATTTATTTTATTTTCCTTTGAATAAAAAAGTCAGCAAATTTTATTTGTTTTTTGTTTCCTGTGGTACTCCCCTTCCGTTTAGTACTCCACTTATGAAATGCAGTAAATTATACCTATTGATTCAAGAAATGATTCGATATTGGACGAAAACTGTAATTAATAAGTTTGAAACGTCAGGTTTCTCTTTCTTCTTCGAGCGTATCTACACAACAGAGGGAGGAAATGAATTAAAGGCAAAAAGAAAATGAATTTGCTATTCTCCTAGCGAGATCAATATCAATTTAATTACCTATTAAATTGGTAATGCCGGATTATAAAGATGGCGGCTTTAATTAACTTTTTTTTAATTCTGTTATAGCTATAGAATAAGCAAAGTAAATGAAGAAAAAACTAAGTAGGTATACATAATACATTTAGTTTAAAAAACACAATTTTTAATGCCTGGATACTGTAGAGATATTAACTGTAAGAGTATCGAAAGAAAAAATGATAGACTTCGATTCAATAAGTAGTTGCATTGTGCCAAAACAATTATTAACTATCAAACTGGAGATTTATTCACTGTCACGGCAAGCGGGTCGCACTCGATAAGTCTACTAAAATCATCTGTCCTTTATACTTATACATAGATATATATCACAATTTGTAAGAAAATTGAATTCTTTCAAATACAGTGTAACCCAGAGTAAAAATTATTCTTTTCAATTTTACTCTACCGAATTACGACCAAACTAGCTCCATAAATTTCTCTAAAATATTACCGGAAAAGGTCCGTTTGCAGGACTAAACCGCCGATTGTGTAACAGTACCGCATTTAGTACGAAAAGAACACGAATACAGCACCGATTGCTTTCCAGACAACTACTGAAATACCACCGAAAGAGTGACGCCAGTGGCGGATTATCCATAAGGTAAAGTAGGCATATGCCTAGGGGCGCAAGGTTAAAAAGGGGCGTGCGCGGAAGGTTCTAAACCTAAAAAAAAAAATAGGGAAGTACCTAATAAAAAAAAGTATTTTGTAAAATATATGATAACCAGAGGGGCGTCTATGAGGTGAGAATTTTAGAATTTAAATTTTCGTCTAATTTGTAGGAACTATTTCGGTGGTAATTTAGGTCATATCAGATATATAGGAGCGATTCGGTGGTGTTATAATTCTTTTTATTTTTACTCGGGATATTACTGTTTTTTCTGATCGTATTATACTTTACATTTCGAAGACGTTACTGTTTGTCTTAGATGTTAATATCATATATTATGGAATTATTAGATTTAGGATACCATAGTTACTAACAGGGTTGCTAAATGTTATTATAATATATAACAGTAGTATATCCACTGTCTCTTTAAAACGGTTTGAGCAATAAAATTAGTTTTTTGGTAACAAATTAGCAATAAATTATGGTAATGCTAATTTTGTGGGCATAATATAGTTTGAATATGTTAAGTTTATAGACATGAGAAACCGAACGTATAGGGCAACGGTCTTCAACTGGCATACTGCAGAAGGTCAAAAACTGGACCACCAACAATTTTTTGAAAGTATTAACTATTCAAACAAATTATTTAAATTTTTTTTCTGGAGATAACAGAATACCTTTGAGGTNTATTCCACAGATAATCTTTCACTCTCTTCTGTCTTCATTTCGTCCGTCTCCTAGTTACATTTATAGATTTGTACTATAGTGTAACACGATTCCTGAAAGCAGGCTGAAGAGGGCCTTCCGGCCTACCTTCCGGCATAGTCCGGAGGGACTGCCCGCCCACCAGCATTACTGGCTGGTGGGAATGAAACACCCAAAAGTTTAAAGTTTAAGGCTAGCTTAAAATGTGTGTCGCGAGAGGCGTAAGAGCGCCACCATATCGTATGCGGCCGTTCGTTGCGTATGAAGGTATTGCGCATCCTACTTACGCGTATGCAAGATTTTACCGAAATTGATGCGCAGTCGGTCATCGCGCAACGGACGATTGTGTTTTCTATCCTTTATTAGTGATGATGCTTTTTAGATCCATTCCTAATTACTGGCGTGTAATCGCACCATACTAACTAATTTATTTAACAATCTCGGGACAACAGAGACTCGACTTGCTCCAGAAGGATTCCAGAATGTGACATGCAGAGAATCTGACCTTCTTTGTTACTAGCGAGATCAAGGCAACCCACTAAAGACCTCATGCTTTTTGGAGAGTTGCCTACACTTGACATTATCTTAGACTGCTTGATTAAAATAAATATGAACTTTCAACATAGTGGCTAAAGTACGTCGTACGTTGCAGCTTTTTATATAAAGGGTAATAAAACTTAGGTCAAACCTAACTTTCTGCATGCTGTATAACAAACCTACGTTCACCCTTTTTTGCCCATTGTACTATGAGACAGTACTAAAGATATAATACATATCGTATGTCGTTGAACAATTATTGGTTCACACGCAAACTTTCAATAATACAGATGGTGTTATAATGGATTTTTGTTACGTTTAACTAAAATTTCGATTTTCCCTGTTGTTTCAGTTTCGAGGTTGATGGGAAGTACGGCAGCGTCGGCGAACATGGGTCATCCGGGCCTTAACACGGCCGGAATGCCCGGTCTCGGCGCATGTGCAATGCCAGATTCAAAACCCATGCAATTTCCCCTAGCACAGCGACGAAAGAGGCGGGTCCTTTTCACGCAAGCACAGGTATGTTGTTACGCCACGCCAACCTTCATCTTCTTCCTTCTTCCTTCGTCTCTAGCTTTCACCATATTCCATATCCATAATAAAGCGTAAGCTCGGAAAGCTCCGCGGCCAACCCCTCCCCACCACTACCGCCGCTACGTCACCTTCGCTTCCGGGCCCGTTTATCGCTGAGTTTTGACCGACGGCGACTGACGCGACATCAGATATGCGTGCTCGCGTTTTTCACCAATAATTATTAACTAAATTAGCAAATAAACACGCACGATTTTTTCTATCGGGAAATGATCAAATTTTATTTGCTAAAATTTGTTTTGTGGTGGTGACCAAGTGGTGAAAAATGTAGAAAAGTGTGGCAATTTGGTTGGTCATAGTATAGGAAGCTCTTTCAGCACTATTTTACACATAGGTATAATTTGTTGCTTTTTTTGATTTGCAAAATCGTTGTAAGTAATTACCTCTTAGATTAATAGTGTTCTCAGTTCTGGTAGTTTTAAAATTGCAAATATTGTAGTAACACTCGTCGAAAAATTTAAAATGATTAAATAATGTCTTTCTAATATAAAAAATAAGTTGAGACTTCAACCCTGGATACTGTAGAGATATTAACTGTAAGAGTATCGAAAGAAAAAATGATAGACTTCGATTCAATAAGTAGTTGCATTGTGCCAAAACAATTATTAACTATCAAACTGGAGATTTATTCACTGTCACGGCAAGCGGGTCGCACTCGATAAGTCTACTAAAATCATCTGTCCTTTATACTTATACATAGATATATATCAAAATTTGTAAGAAAATTGAATTCTTTCAAATACAGTGTAACCCAGAGTAAAAATTATTCTTTTCAATTTTACTCTACCGAATTACGACCAAACTAGCTGCATAAATTTCTCTAAAATATTACCGGAAAAGGTCCGTTTGCAGGACTAAACCGCCAATTGTGTACGAAAGGAGTACTGAAACAGTACCGCATTTAGTACGAAAAATACACGGATACAGCACCGATTGCTTTCCTACTGAAATACCACCGAAAAAGCGACGCATTTATAATAAAAAAGCGCCGAAACAGCACTAAAGAGATACTAAACTTTTTGATTTTGTATGTGATGCTGTTTTGGTGCTATAATAGTATGTTTTTTGGCGAGGCGCTGTGTGAGGGCTCTTTCGGATCTTTTTTAATGTGGTGCTAGTTTGGAGTTGTTTTAGAGTTTCAAAAGGTAGCGTTTTGGCTATAATTTTAGAATTTAAATTTTCGTCTAATTTGTATAGGAACTATTTCGGTAGTAATTTAGATCATTTCAGATATTTGGAGGGGATTCGGTGGTGTTATAATTCNTAGTGATGGGTCGTAACATGTTTTCGGCGTAACGTAACGTAACTAGTTTCTTGAGAAAACGTAACCTGTTTCATAACTACGTATTTTTGTAACTAGTTACATTTATAGATTTGTACTATAGTGTAACTTGGAAACTGTTAAATTGTCCTATATCTTTCCTCACTGTCGTATCTTTACAATACAGGTCATTTCACGATGGTACGGTCACAATTCCTAGAAAGTAGGTTTATGGCATTACCTAGCAAACAAACCCATGTATTTACCATCGACGATTTGATATTTTACACTTTTACAGAAAGATATTTTTGCATTTGGTAACTGTTGTATAAATCTAAGTTAAAAATAAACATCGTACCCTCGGAAAATTATCTCCTAGAAAGCTTCAACAACTTTGCTACACAATTACAAAAATTTTAAATATTGTAATAGTTGTTTGCTACTAAGTTTTTCTCAAGATCTGATCTGGAATTCATAGACTTTCTTTCATGACTAAAAATATAAGAGGCCACAATAAATAATCTTTTAAAATACTTTTTCTCTGTATGTATGATTTTGATCTGTTCAAATATTATTTACTCAAAATCATAACTCCGAAGAACGAAGATATGACAAAAGAAATACGTGTCCTTCGAAAAATAACAAAATAGGTATAATACCAGGCATCACGTTATTGTTACCCATGGGTACCTACTTTAACGTACAGTAAGCTATTTACAACGTTAAAACCGAAGATACTAAACTGCTTACTCAAAGTAACCGATATTGAAAATAACTTTAACCGTAACCGCTTGTCGTACACAGTCGAAACAGGTTATACGATTATTTAGCTAGTACGCAGTTTCGGAAACTACTTACGTTACATAACGCTCACCCCTACGCAGTACATTAAAAATGTACTTATCCCACAGTCGGCGACGAAATATCTACGAAATATGAGTTCTACCGTCGATAACAGTCAACCAGTCGGGCAAATATCAATTCTTCATTGGATTCTCATTTGAAATTTAAGTTCATTGGTTTACTGAAAACCACCACCAGACACAGATCAATAAATTAATGACCAAACCGAAAAACTTCCTAATTTTTCCTGTTTTGGATTTTGGATACTGCACATTCTCATTTTTGTGAAGTTCTGTTGTTTTTGGGGTTCCGTACGTCCGAATGAAAAAAACGGAACCCTTATAAGGTCACTCGTGTGTCTGTCTGTCCGTCTGTACTGGACCGATTAGTTGAAATTTAATACATATATAAACTTCTGTAATCCTAACGCGGACGCATAACGTAAATAAATTAATTTTGAACAGGGGGGTAATTTGGGGAGGACAATAGAAAATTTAAAAAAAAAGTTTTGCAAACTATACCGAGTGACACATCAAATTAAGGGCTCGTTGCAAGGGTCTCGAATATGTTTTTTATAGTTTTAAACTAAATAGTTTTAAAATTATTTAAGGAAATAGATGAAAATTGACCATTTCTCCTCCTTTTCTCCGAAACTACAGAACCTAAAATTTGGAAAAAAATGCAGAGTAGTTCTTTATTTATAGATTACAGGAAAATTAATAATCAATCTATGGTCTGAACATAACGTGATAAACCTTTCAACAAAACAATATTGTCAGTACCAATTTACAATTGCAATTTGAATGTACGGGAGTTAGGGTTCCATATGCTCGAATGAAAAATGGAACCCTTATAGGATCACTCGTGTGCCTGTCTGTCCGTTTTTTATACCTATTCTGTACACCTAATAACAAAAGAAAATGTTCGGTTCCTGGAGTTCCGTCACGGAGAGTTTACGTTGTACCTACATTAAAATACGGGAAGCTTTATTTCGCCAGTAAATAAACCCCAAATATAGGTACATTTTTACGCAATAAAAATTGCAGATGTAATCAACTGCAAAACATCTGCTTGCATCCCCTTTTTCTGTTATTCTGCCCCCTCATCAGCTTGTGGCATCATCACCATTTTGTTTCTGCACGATTAATTCCTGACAAAAACCGATGCGCCCGTCGACCCTACCGCAAATTAAAACGTAACAATTTAACAATACCAAAGTATATACATGTGATGCTTATATATGTGTATATAAAACTGTTGTTTTGAATGCATCACTACCATCTGCGAGTTCCCTGTCAGCATGCAATAGTAGGTAAAATATCTAAATCGTCTCGTTTTACTTTTAAAAACCCTCTCTCTGGATATTGCAGTGAACCAAAATGGCGACTCGTTATAAAATGTTCTAATGAACCCTACGCATACAACTGCCCCATAAAAATTTTAAGAAGTTGAATTAAAGTCGATATATGAATATTGATGTCTAATCAACGGTTTAATTTCAGTACTTTCTGAGTTTTTGTGAATCTACTTCTGCATGTTAACTTTCTTCTACGAATCACGACGACAGATTACACATTTATACTGCTATGACAGTTTGTTTCATAATTTTCTCAAATAAACAGGGACAAAATGTTTCTTAGGAAATATAAAAAACAATGAGTTGCCAGAAACATATTATGTTTTCATATATTTTGGGACTTTGACCTACTTTACGACGAAACCTTAAAAGCAGAAATAAAAAGTATGACAGCGATACCTCACTTTGATGGAACCCTTTTGTAATGCAACTAAAAATACTACATTCAAACCTTTATTTGACGTAGACGGTATAAGTAACATAAATACTTGCTGAGTTAATCAACTGGGGTTCCGTTTTACCTTTTTCTGGTTTGCAGAACTCTAAAAGCAGATCTTTGCTTATTTAATGATTGGTGGGTTGTATGTGGGGCGCAATCCCCCTTTTATTATTATTGGAAGCTTTATCAGGTTATGCGTTGGTCTATAGCGAGCAAACTGCCAATATAATACAAAATGCACCCTCTCTTTCAATTTGCCCATTCACTAATTCGTTCGTACATCGCGCGAAGAGCGAGTTTCCCGATGTAGAGGAAGGTAGTAGAGTAACAGCCAGCCAGTTAGTGGAAAGTGAATTATCGAAAAGTTTGTTGTGTGCGCGCGTACGGAGAAAAAGAGAACGGCGACGATGGCGACGACGATGGTCGTTTGGATGATGGATAGAGACCAGAAGCTCGAGTGGCCATTGTTCCATCGAGAACCAGCTGTCGGGCAATGAAAAAACTCTACGACGATGATGACGATTATGGGAGCATAATGCCGAAAAAGCGTCACGTTGGTCGGTTGGAAAGTTTTTTAAATGGGGGTTATGGATGGATGTTTACGTTTATACATGGGGGTGATTTCATTTTTATTTACCTATACAGTAATGGCATAGCAACATTATCCGGGGAACTACAGTTATAGACATTCATTTTATTTTTCATTTTGGAAAAGAGGTAACCATCAAAAGAAAAAAACTTTTTATAAGATCGATTTTTGTCGTGCTGGATATATGAAGTAGGTTAAATTATTTATATAAACCACATTGACATTTAATAGGGGCTGATATCAAATATTAATGCGAAAATTGTTAAACTCAAACGGCTAATTTTACTCTAAAGAAATTATGCTAAACAACGTGTAAATTTATGAATTCTACAAACGAAAAAATTAAGAAAAACCATTAGTAAACATCCGTACCAGCTACCAGAGTTGTTACAGGATGGTAAAGAGACACCCCCTCCGAGCTTTAGCATACACCCCGAAA